AAAAATAACAACCAAGATGGATCATGTAAAGGTGCAAATTTCCAATGATGAATGTCGTTATATTATATACCTTAAATGTACCAATATAATAATAAAAAAACCCCAAAGGTTGTAAACTGATTGCCTAACTGCAGAAACTAATGTTGATTTCAGCCTGCCCACGTTGATATAAATTTAAGAAAAAAAATTCTCCCCAAAAGAATATTTGAACTGAAATGAGTTATGATTTTGAAGAACATATTTTCATAAGAATTCAGTAGAATCATGGGGATTGAGCTCAATGTTGCTGCCACCTGCCTTCCAAGAGCATGGTCCTGAGTTCGATCCCTGGCACCAAAAAAAAAAAAAAGAATTCAGTAGAATCTTCAAATTACCTTTCTTATTACTCTGAGTTCATTTTCTCCTTAACTAAATGTAAAGACACATTAAAGTACTATAACATTAATGATTAGAATAAATACAGTGGTGTAATGATCAATTTAATTAAAAATACCATTCCAAGGACAAAAGGAAGTGTCAAAATATTGTAAACAATCAATGAAATTTACTGTATCATTCAATCATATAATCTGCCATGATTTATCATATAGGCTCTCATTAAGCTATATTATATTTTGCTAGTAAGATTGACTAAGTATTTTTCTGTTAAGTTGCTGAAAAGAAGTTGCTATATCAGCTGATCTGTAATCTATTCAGTGTCCTAGGGATAGTGAGGTAGGGAGGTAGAACAGGGATATTCCTGGAGAAGTGTTGTTACCTGTTTTATTCTCTTTGTAAGTATGCTGGTAACAGGATATTCCATCAAACAGAGCATGATATTTCCATGATATATTCCTACCTTATTTATGGTACTTTTTTTTTTTTTTAGCAGATCTCCACAGTTAAAGACTGTTTGATGTAAATAAATCTGGGATCTACAGAATTCGAAGTCATGGCTCCCTATAAAATGTCACATACTCTCAAGTATAAAATGGAGATGTTTCATAAATGCAACACTCCTCTGCTATCTGCTATCACCTAACAAAATCTTAGTACTTGGAGACCTCACACATCTTTTATTCAAGCTCAACAATGTGTATGATGTGGGAAGGAAGGAACTGAGAAGCCACTGAAGTGTTCTAGGCCCAGAATGTTCTTGAAATTATTAGTAAAGCTTGACACCAGATGAGATCTCTGATGAGTGTTAATCTGACTTTTTGAAATTTTATCAATGTTTGGTGCTGGGGATCAAACCCAGGGTCTTGTGTATGATAAATCATGCATTCTACCTCTGAGCTACATCCTCAGTTAAAATCTGATTTGACAATTTTTTGAGTTATTCCAGATGCTCTCATGGAAATATGTCCCATAGAATAGCAATTTTTTCTAGTTTAGGTTTCTTCTAAATAATAGTTGGGAAGAAGCATCTTCAGTTTTGGCAGTGTTTTCACAGATGAACGTTTGATTCTGGACATATTAGTTTGTATATTATTTTTGTTTGTACATTCCTTACTTGCAGTGTAGAAAGAGCCACTGCACATCATTTCCTTTAAACCTTGGAAAGGGCTCTTATATAATCTACAAAAAGGCTTCCTGAACTGCAGCGAATAGAGCCACAAAATCAGTTATCAAGTATCTATGTACTATGTTCCACATGCCATGTTACATACTGAGAGAAGTGTGGACAAGATAGTCTCCACTCTCAGGGAATAGTCCACTGTTCAGTCTGTCTTTGAGACATTCTTAGAAGTTCAGCAGAAGCAGTAAAGTTGTTAAAAGGAAGCTAAGAGACAATACCAAAATGCTGTGAAAACTATGATGGCTGTATAAGGTTAAACGTCTCAATTCTCTTATCTGTATACTGTACTATCTCAGGAGAGAGTCAAACCAGGCTTAGTAGGAGCAGTGACCCAAGATTAACAGGTTGCATTCTGAGTAGGTAAAACTAAGGTAACGCCCTATCTACGGCAAATTTGAGCGGGAATAGTTGTAAGAGCAAAGCCAAGTCAATATCCATTATTAGGGGTTGATTCAAATGCCAGGTAGACTAAGTACATGTGCCAGACTAAAAGGGCCACAGGAAATCCAGAATGGAGATTCAGAAACAGTTTGGACCACCACCAGTAAAGTAGCAAATGAGACTTCTCAGAGAACACTGATAAGATGAGTCTTGGGGTAGTTAGAGCTAACATTCATTAGTGGGTAGGTGCATGTGTGTTTTCCTGGGTTATCAGACATTTGTAAATCAAGAAATGTATGTCTTGAAATATACACTGCATATAAATTATAATTAGCAAAATTTTCATTGATGTGTTTGGAAGCTTTTCTATCACATCTCAGAGGAATTAAAATTTATAAATCTCATAACAACCAAAATAATGTCACCTGGATTTTATTATATCCTAGGAAGAGTTTCTCTAGTTTTACCAAAGATTGCAATTTGCTCAGCTCTCGTAATCTGTTTTCCTCCAGATGAAGTGCCAATAGAGAACTTGGTTTGGCAAAAGCACTGTCATTAAAGGCTCTGATACGGTTATGGTCTACTACCAATTCCTGAAGGACTACCAGGTTGTCCAGACCTTCAACTTGACTGATTTTATTCCCTTAAAAAAAGAGAATTAAAGTTATTTATTTTCATTAAAGTATTTTTATCAAATTATTTTTTAAAAAGGAAAAATGTTTCCATTTTTATGTCTTAAAGTTGTTACAAAAGAAACTGATTTTTCCCTAACTTCCTATGCAAAATAACTTTATGAAGCATTAGTATCTCTTCTTGCCAATCTCCTAGTGCAACTGTGAAAATATTTTGGGACTATTTTTCTCTCCCCCTTATACATCTAATTAGTCACTTGGTCCCAATATTTCCTCCTTCAAAAATTTCCCAGTAGTCCAGGACCTCATGATGTCACTTGTAAAAGGCAAAAGATTAATACGATCTGGAGAAAAACCAGAGTATGAGGTCACTTATGCTGATAGAAAACATGTGCTTTGAACTGAGGTAGACCTATGTTTGAAAACACACACTAGCACAGGTTTGAGCCAATTATTTCATATTACTGAAGCTCAATTATTGTTTTGTAAAAAGTACACAACAATACTTACCTTGTAGGGCTGCTGTAAGATTAAATGAGATAAACACCTTGGGCAATAACTCCATAAATAGCAACTGTCATTGACAGAGTAAATTGCCTTAACTTCTACATAAGGTTGCCCCAACTGCAACTGCAACCGCAGCTGCACACACTGCCCCTTTACATTATTAGGCCCACAGAGACCTTCCTAGGTTAGGTTATCCACTTTTAGGTATGTCAGTGTATCTTAAAAGAATCTGTCATTTTTGTGTTCAAAGTGTGTGTGTGTGTGTGTGTGTGTGTGTGTGTGTGTGTAAGGCTATTGGCATGTTCTTGACCCAAATCACAGTTACATTTGATAGGCAAATAAATACAATAAAAATTTTAAAAATAAGGTCTAGGAAAGCCTGTCTTTCAGGAAAGATGTTACTATACTCAGATCAACTATCCAAATTCTTCCCCGTGTCTTATTGATGGGTTTCCTAACTTTTCTCCTATGTCATCACATAATTATTATTAGACTAATGTTCCTCTAATCTAAATTCTATCAGTCTTTCAAAGCGTCCTAGGTATTCAGGAGAATCTTTTAGTTTCTCTTTCTCTGAGCTTCCATTACACTTAAATTAATACCATAGTCAGAACTTAATTCATCTTTTTCTCAGTGCATCACTACAGGTAGATCTGAAATTACTACCTTAGATCAAGGATTTCAATTATATAGAAGTATAAAATATATTACTGCCATATATTTTATAGTACTTAGCACAATTCTGGGATTAATAAATGCTTGCAAATTACCCACTAATTACTTTTTATTGCTTTTTAAATTGAATGTGATATAAAAATAAATCATGATGTCATGCTGTATGTAGACCCAGAATATTATATTTTCCTTCAAAAGTGTTTTGAACCAAAGAAAAACCTATTTGTAATTATTAAAATATCTTTGTCAGGGCCAGGGATTTAGCTCAGTGGTTTCGTCACCTGCTGCACAAGCTCAAGGACCCAAGTTCAATCCCCGGTACCAAAAAAAAAAAAAAAATCTTTGTCAATGTATGAGTAAATGGTGATGCTTTTATTTGCTTATCAAAACAAGATGATAATCAGGTCAGTTTTTTCTTTTTCAAGTCAGTTTTTAATGAAAAGGACCTAGACATTAACAAAGCTTCTACTCACCCTGTAGAAAAAGGAATTTTAAATTTCTTAGTCTATTAAGTTGTAGCTGGGTTAAATTACAAATTCCATTGTAGCCCAGATGAAGGACTTCTAAACTGTGCATTATTGGAGGCAAATTTTCACTGTTCATTGTATCTCTGAAACACATAGTTTAGTTTGAGGCCATTAGCTTAATTTCGAATCAGCTATATCATAAAAAGATGATACATATTTGCTATAAATTGAAGAAAAAGAAAAAATAATTTATTAATATATCAAAATTGAAATATAACATGTAATGTCTACATTTTGTATCATAATTTTTCATTTTAAACATATTTTTATATGGTAAGGAATAAAGAAGTACAGAAAGTTACAATGAAAAGCAATACCTAGTACAATCACCCAAGAAAAAGAAAAATATAATACATCCAATTGGAAAGGAATAAGTATAATTGTCTTTATTCTCAGATGACAGAATTGTGTTTCAGAAAATCCTAAGAAATTCACCTAAAACTAATTGAACCAATAAAGGAATTCACCAAAGTCACAAGATAATGTTAATATACAAAACCCAATGGAATTTCTAAGTGCAAAATTTATACACAGAAAACTATAGAACACCACTAACATAAATAAAAGAAGATGAAAATAAGTGAAGAAATATTTCATGCTCGTGGATTAGAAGGCAAAATTATTAAAATGACAATTCTTTCAAACTGATCAACAGATATGACACAATCTCTATCAAAATACCATCAGGCTTTTTTTTCCACCAAAAAATTATCATTTTACCCTAAAATTTATAAGGAAATGCATAGAACTCAATATCCAAAATAATATTGAAAAAAGAAAATAGTTAAAATTTACTAATAGTCAAAATTTATTATAAAATTAAAATCATCAAACTAATGCTGGCAAAAAGAGAGACACATAGATGAAAAGAATAGAATTGAGTCCAGAATACGCCCTAACATTTATGGTCAACTGATTTTCAGCAATGGGGCCAAGGCCATTCAATAGGGGAAAGGGTAATGTTCTAAGCAAATGATGCTGAGACATACAAAAAGATGGATTTAGACCTCACAATATATAAAAATATTAACTCAAATGGATTATAGGTGTTAGTTACTGTAAAAATTTCTTAAAAATTTTTGAAGAAAACATGAGAAAATCTTTGTGACCTTAGCTTAGGCAAAGAATTATTAGAAAAACTTCTAAGACCACACTCTGTAAGAAAAGAATTGATGAACTGCACTGTGTCAAAATTTAGTTTTTACTTTCGTTTGGTTTTTTTGGGGGGGGGGACCAGGGATCGAACTCAGGACCTTGTGCTTGTGAGGCAGGTGGCAGCACCGCTGAGCTAAATCCCCAGCCCCTTATTTGTTATTTTTAATCAACATTTAGACACCATTTAAAAAAATAAGACAAGACATAAATTGAGCAAAAATATTTGCAAATAATTTATATGGTTAAAGGCTTATATCCTCAACATTTAAAGAACACCACAACAAAAGGCCAAGTAATACACCTACTTAAGAAAAGGCAACATATTTGAGTACATATTTTGACAAAGAAGATATAAGTAAGCATTTGCAAATATGTTCAGTAATATTCATTATTAAAGCAATGCAAATTAAAACCACAATGAGATACTACTTCAAATCTATTAGAATGGCTATAACGAAACAGGCAATAGTAAGTATTGACAAGAATATGGAGAAGTTGAAATCCTCATACACTGTTGGTGGTAATTTAAAGTGGTGCATCTACTTAGGAAAACAATTTGACAGTTTTCTTAGTCAAATATTTAATTACTATACCACCAAACACTTCCACTCCTAGGTATTTACCCAAAATAAATATAATGAAAATATTAAGTGCACATAAATACTTATACACAACTCTTAATAGCTTTACCATCCACACAGGTAAAAAAAATGGGGGCAGCCTGCATGTCTGTCAATTGGTGAATGAATAAACACAATGTGGCATATGCATACAATAGAGTATCCAACATATGCAGCAATGAAAAGGAAAGAACTTCTACAAAATGTCACAAAGGTTCAAAGGGGAAGGGGAAGTAGAGGGTGAGGGAAAGGAAAGAAGTAAAAAAATATGAGAAAAGGAAAAAATGGAAACAAAGCTTTTGTAAATAGGGAGAGGTGGAGGGGTAAGAAGGGAGGGCAGGGGAATGGGAAAAACTAAGATTTATCATGTACAGGTACAAATCCCCAATGATGAATGTGATCATAATGTATACCTAAAATGTACCAATAAAGTTAATTAAAAAAATCTTTTTGAAAGGAAAAAAAAGTCACACTATGTATAGTCTCAAAACCATTATGCCATGTATCAAAAACCAGATGCAAAAGACTATGTATGATATGCTTCCATTTATAGTAAACATCTAGAAAACATAACTTTATAGAAAGTAGATTAGAAGTTATCTAAGGCTAGGGCCAGGGATTTAGTTCAATGGTTTAGCTCAGTGGCACTGCACCTGCCTGGCAAGCGCAAGGTCCTGAGTTCAATCCCCAGTACCCCAGTACCAAAAAAAAAAGTTATCTAAGGCTAGAAGTGGGAAAGGGAATTGACTGAAAATGGACATGAAGTATCTTTCGGTGTGATGGAAATGCTCTAATATTGTATTGCAGTAATGATCACATGTCTTTAAATTTAGTAAAAGTATTGAATTATATACACTTAAAATGAGTTAACAGGGCATGTAAATTGCACTTCAACAAAGACATTAGAAAAATCAAATATGAATATTCTCCAGTATAAAGGACGTATACAAACAAAATGTTCATAGTAGCTTGAATCATAGTGGCCTCAAACTGGAAATAATCTAAATATTCATCAGTGATAAATGAATAAGCAATGTCACATAACTTATATAATGGGAATACTACTTAGAAAATATTCTGATGAATGGATAAAGTGTGGTATTTATACACAATGAAGTGCTACTCTGTCATAAGGCAGAATGAACTTAGGTCATTTGTAGGAAAATGGATGCACCTGGAGACCATAATGTTAAAATGAAATAAATCAGATTCACAAGCTTAAATGTCACAGGGTTTCTTTTATGAGAAATCTAAAATATAAATAAAGAGAAAAAGAAAAGATTGATAACAGGAAATAGGGAGATAGATCTTTTACAAAAGAGAATGGGACCAAGAAATGGAGTGTGAAAGGGGACAGGAAGGGAATGAAAAAAGTATTGAGATGTGTTATGTACATGTACCACTCCCCATGAGAAATACAATCATTGTGTACTGCAAACATGTGCTAATAAAAATTAAAATTGAGATAGAAAAAAAATAAAATGATTACTGATACTTGCAACAATATGGATAAATCTCAATGTTCAATAGTTATATACATATATAAAACAAATTTAATGACACAACTATCAGAGTGATACATATATAGGAATATGCAATGTATCTATATAATAAATATAAAAGAATAGGAAGGTGAGAATTGTGTCCTCATCTCAATATAGTATATTTTCCACTGAGGTGGGACACTGGGTTTCCAGATAATAATTTAGAAATACAAAGAAGACAAATGTTAAAAGAAATCCAAATTTATTCTACTTGAGTAAGGAGTTTCTTTGTGGCATGATGAAAATGATCTAGAATTAGTAGTAATGGTGTATAACTTGTGAAAAAACTAAAAATCACTGCATTGTATACAAAGGATGAGTTATATGGATGTGGATTGTATCTCAAGAGAAAGAAGCTCTAGGTCATTAAATATACAAGACTTTTTGTTTTTCCTTCATTTGTAAATACAAGTAGAGGAAGCAGGGGAAAAACAATGACAAAAAGAGTAACTGCAATTGCAGTATGTTTTTATTTGTGAAGTTTGTTTTTGGCATGTAGCTATTAAATAAAATCATTACTAAAATAAGCTAAATATATGCACTAGAATGTGCTACTTCTTTTTAAATTTCTAACCAAAATTTTTTTGTGCTAATAAAAAGAATAACAGAATAATACCTGTTTGTTTTGGGGGTGCCTTGCTGTCCATAGCCACTTGAAGGCACTTTCTGGTAGAGCATCTGCTTGTTTGTCAAGTGATTATGAGGCTTTAGTTTAGGGATGATTGATTCAATGTGATTATAATTGAGGCATAAGACCTACAGAAAGAACATCATATTAATCAAACATCCCATAAACCAGTAAAATGGTATGGATAAAATTTGGGATATACAACATAATTTATAACATATTCATATTGAAAATAAAAGCACAATGCTGAAAATAAAATAATAAAGAGCATAGAAAGGTACTCAACTTTATCAATCTGCACTCCTAAGTTCTCCAAGCCTGATATGGAGGAAATAGCTCCTTAGTGAGATAGAAAGCTGTTTCCCTATATTTAAAAGGGCTTGGTAGATGGCTAAATTGAGGCAACAGGAAAGAAAGCAATAAAGCTGCTTTAAAAATCAGAGCATAGGGTGGTTCCGGCACCTGCCTCACAAGTGCAAGGTCCCAAGTTTGATCCCCAGTACCCCCCAAAAAGATAAAAATCAGAGCATTCTCATCTTCATCTTATACCTTCCACTACACAGGCAGCTTTCTATTCTTTCTCTTACTGTAGAGTAAGACAATCACACATATAAGCTAAAATCAAATCAAAATGACTTTGGAAGGAAACACTTTTATTTGCTTAGTAAAAAACAACAACAAAAAGGTTTGTAGGTGACTCACTTTCACATTAGGAAGATAGATTAGTCCACTGAATGAGGTAAGATTATTGTTCTGCAGATTCACATTACACAAATTTCTAAATTGGTCAACTGGAATCAAATCCACAGTTCTAAATTTAGAGAAAGTAAATACAGTAATTTGAATAGGGTCAGAAAATATAGAAAAAGGTAGTTCCTCCATATACAACTGCCAAAGGCACTTAAAAAAATCTCATTTGACAAATGCTATGAAAATAATTGCCTTAATGTAAAATGTCAGGGTTGAGTGATCACCTAAATATACATTTCTGTTGGGCACATATGTAAGAAAATGGCATAGAATTTGATTGCTTTCTCTTACCACATAAACTTATCAGTATTATAAAAGAAATATAAAATAAGTACTTCCAATTAATTTATAAATGCACATACATCTTCCTGAAATCATAGTGAATGAATATGAAAAGTCATTAAGATTTTCAGGCTATAAAGTTCAGAGGACATATGTGAAATAAATTATTACTGAGATGCCAGGAATGAGATAAGATTGGGAAAGAAAATGAAAAGGCAGGTAAGGTCTTTGAAAATGGACATTTTTGTGGGATCTCCAGAAACTTTTATGGCAATCCACCTTGTCATGATGTTCTGGTAACTAAACAGAATTCCTATTCCATAGTTATATAACTATTCTTGTCTTCATTTGAGCCATGACAGAGAGAGCATAAAGCTAAATCACCTTTCTCTGGCAATTTTGTAAAACAAATTCTAAAGTTGTAGCTATAATTATGGCATACATTTATCCATAAGTCATTTAGTCATTCAATATATTTTCATTAATATTTCCCAAATGTAGACAATATGTTGGGAAGGTTATAATACAGAAAAAAATAACTGTATCTGTACTCAAGAAGTGGGAGCCAGAAACACTAAAATGCAAAAAAGAAAATTGTTGAACAGAGTTAGGTGTAATGGCATTTTAGAGAAAGAAAACTTCTTTGAAGAAGTCAAGGATGATATCACAGAGGAGTCTTTGAGGTGAGACCTGCGGATTTGTAGGCATCTGTCAGGCAAATAATGAGGAAAGAGTTCCAGAGTACAACAGGCACAAAGGCAAAAACATGACATCAAATCTTATGGTTCAGATTCAGGCACTAGGACATTCCAAATTTTCTGAAATAAATAAAGTGGCATGGGTGGTGAAGTAAAGGATTATAGAAGGCGAAAATTATTCTATGCCATACAAAGGAATTAAAATTTTTATTCTGTAGGCTGTGGAAAGCTACTGAACAATGTTGAGAAAGGAAGTAACGTGATAAACTTGTACCTTAGAAGGTAATAATGGGTAACAGATGGGTTTTCAAGGAAAGCTTATATAAGACAACAAAAAGATCGCCAAAAGAGTTTCTAACATAGTCCAATACCAAGGGCAGTGACTGTGGAAAGAGAGAGAAACTGAGTCATACTCTGAACCTGAACAGATCATGGTGATGAATAAAAATGGAGTACAGAGGAGAGAAAGAATTGACTCTTTTTTTCTTTTTTGGCTTGGGCAACAACAAGCAGATGCTATCTCTGTCTCCTAGACACTATCTAGAGAGCAACTGAATGTTCAGGTGAAGAGCCAAGGTTTGGGCTAAAAACAGTAAATTTAGAAATCATCACAAGTTACAACTCTGGCTAAAGATAAATCTCCTTATGAAGAGCACAGAACAAGAAAAAGAGAAAAGGGAAGGAAATTATGGGAATAGAGAAGGAAAGACAACAAAAGAAGCTGAGAATAAAAGTTGGAGAACATCAGAAAGTAAGAATTCATAAAGAAACCTGAGAAATTTATAGGAAAATCAAGAATGTGAAATTACTGTTTAAAGAGGTGCAAGTGGCTAAGAAGTACAAAGAAAGAAGAGTTAGCATCCTTATATGCCCAAGAAAGGTTAGGGGGATGGGGAATAAAAACAACCCATTTGGTTTGGCAGCATGGAAAACAGTGATAACATCCACAAGAGAAGAAGCAGAGGAGTGATGCCAGCAGAAGCACAGCACATTGTATTAGAGCAATAAGATGTGAGCAGGGCAGCCTGTTCCTCACATTTCATGGCAGAAGGAAATTTCTGAAAGAGGAATTTTATATTTCATGTGTAACCAGCCATATCTTGCTTGTGGGTTTTCAGCTGTTTCTTTTCTTTGGGCATTGTGGCAGAGTGAAGTGAAAATTGGTGCCAGGCTGGCCACCATTTATTAGCTGTATAATTTGGGCAGGTTTCCTCTCTTGCTGAAATCCCATTTCTCTTTAAACCCAGAGGTTCCATTGAACCACTGCTTTCCACATTGAACTCTGGGCTCCGAGAATGGTTACTAGGTGCTAGGGAGTTCGTGGTGAGGATCTGGAAATCCGTACATTAGACAAGCATGGAGCCTGAACATTCAAGTCTAGGATACATGTCTGAGGATGATGTTGTAACAAATAAGGTGCAATTAAAAGTGTTGTGGAATTGCTACTAACTTTTATTTTAATGATTTTCTTAATTAAAATGTAATTAAATTTTTGATTTAAAAAAGCATATGAAGGACAAGCCTAGAGTGTTTGGTTGTAAAAGGGGATGAGATAACATGAAAAAGAAAATGATGACATTTTAAATCATAGTCTCTGATAATAAAAATTATTAATACATTTCAAAGAAGAGTAAAGCCAGCATGAGATTTGAAGTTGGGTAGATGAATTATTTGTTATGCTTAGATAAGATATACAAATATATGTATACCATCAGTGAGATACTGACAAACAGAATGCAGCAAACCATCAAGAGATTATACACCATGACCAAGTAGGATTCATCCCAGGGATTCAGGGATGGTTCAACATATGAAAATCAATAAATGGAATACACCATATTCACAGAGCCAAGGACAAAAACCGTATGACTTTCTCAATAGATGTAGAAAAAGCATTTGACTAGGCCCAACACCCATTCATGATTAAAAAGAAAACTCTACAGATAATTGGAATTGATGGTCTTTATATCAATCTGATAAAGGCCATTTATAACAAAGCAAGAGCCAACATCATATTAAATGGAGAAAAACTAAAAACTTTCGCTCTAAAATCAAGAACAAGACAAGGATCTCCACTGTCACCTCTCTTGTTCAATATAGTTCTGGAAACACTAGCCAGAGCAACTAGACAAGACAAAGAAACAAAAGGAATAAGGATAGAAAAGAAAGAAGTTAAATTATTATTTGCAGTTGACATGATACTCTACATAGAAGACCCAAAAAACTCCACCAAAAGACTTAGATTTAATAACTCAATTTGGTAGTTTATCTGGATACAAAGTCAACACTCAAAAATCAGGAACATTCCTGGACATGAACAACAAATTCACTGAGAGAGAAATTAGGGAAACAAGACATTTCACAATACTATCCAAAAAAAAACCCAACAAAAAACCAATACCTAGAAATCAACCTAACGTAGGAAATAAAAGACCTCTACACTGAAAACTACAGTACTACGGCACTCTGAAAGTCGAGATCGAAAATGCTATCAGAAAGTGGAAAGATTTTCCCTGTTCTTGCATAAGAAGAACCAATATAGTGAAAATGGCCATACTTCCAAAATTGTTATATAGATTTAATACAATCTCAATCAAAATTCCAACAGTATACCTCACAGAATTAGAGAAATCAATCATAAAATTCATTTGGAACCAGAAGCGACCTAGAATAGCAAAAGCCATTCTGGTCAACAAAAGCAAGGCAGGAGACATCACAATCTTTGACTTGAAATTATATTACACAAAGCTACTGTGATAAAAACAGCATGGTACTGGCAAAAAAAAGACCCAAAGACCAGTGGAACAGATTAGAAGATGCAGAAACAACTCCAGACATAATCAGCCACCTTATTTTTGACAAAGCTGCCAAACACCTTCAACTGGAAGAAAGCCTGTTTAATAAATAATGCTGGAAAACCAGAGTTTCTAGATAAAATTAGACTCATATCTTTTACCATGTACTAACCTAAAATCAAAATTAATGAAAGATGCAAGTATTAAAATAGAAACACTAAATCTGCTGGAAGATAGAATAGGTAGAACTTTTGAAGACACTGGTGTAGGCAAAGACTTTATGAACAAAACTCCAATTGCACAGGAGCTATCACAAAGAATCAACAATTGGGACCTCATCTTATTAAAAAGCTTGTGAACAGCAAGAGAAACCACCAACAGAATGAACAGACAACCTACAGTGTGGGAAAAATTTTTTTCCAGCTGTCCCTCAGACAAAGGACTAATACCTAGAATATATAAATAACTTAAAAAAAAATCAGACCCCTCCAAAAATGTAAAGAACCAATCCTAAAATAGGCATCTGAAATGAATAGACACTTTTCATATGAAGAAATAGGAACAGGAAATTAATATATGAAAAAATGTTCAACATCACTAGTCATTTGAGAGACACAAATGAAAACAATGCTGAGATTCCACCTCATCCCAGAAAGAATGGCTACTATCAAGAAATGAACCAATAACAAATGCTGGAGGGGCTGTGGGGAAAAAGGAACCTTCTCCACTGTTGGTGGGAGTGTAGACTGGTGTAATAACTGTGGAAATCAGTGTGGAGATTCTTCAAAAATGAAAACTAGGGGTATTAGACCAAGCTATTCCCCTTCTTGGTATCTTTCCAAAACCATCATACTACAGTGATATATCCACACCATGTTTATAGTGGCACAGTTTGTAATAGCTAAATCTTGGAAACAGTCCAAATGCCCATCAACTGATGACTGGATAAAGAAGATATGGGTTTTTTTTTTATACAGTGCCATAAGGAAGGCTAAGCTCGAGACATTTCCAGCTAAATGGATATACCTTGAGACCATACTTCTTAAGTGATATAAATCAGACAGACATGTCTAAACACTGCATTGTTTCTCTGGTGTGAGAAACCAAAAATGGAAATAAGGACCAAAATGTATAATAGACATTAGGAAATGGGAAAAATGTTCAAATGGGAGGGGAACAAAGGAGGGGAGGGGGAAAGGAAAGATGAGACAAGAAAAAAAAAGAGGATAGAAAAAAATGGAAACAAAGCTTCTGTAAATAAAGAGGGGAAGAGGGGTTGAAGTAGGGGGAATGGGAAAAGAAGAAGCAAGATATATTGGAGTACATGTACAAATTCTTGTAATGAATGCTATCATTATGTTTATCTAAAATGTACCAATAAATGTTTTGCTTCAAAAATAAAGGGATATCAGAAAATGATAATTACATATTTAATTATAATATCAAAAAGGATATAAAATGATTATACCTGAGGGATGATGTAGTCCAATTAAGTTCTTGCATTTGGGCAAAGTTTGAATGTCCTTGTCTTTCTGCAATCATGTCAGAGGTAAGTCGGCCACCAAATAAATCTTTTGCAGTCTCAGTCTCTGGTGTTTCCTATATAAGTTATATTTGGAAAATTATGTTTTCTGTTACAGATGATTAATTCTCTGATTCTTGATAAAACTGAGTGGACTCATTTCTCCCTATTCCTTTGTTATGGTTTAGATCTAAAATGTTCCCCCAAAGTCTCACATGTGTGGAAGGCGACAGGCCTTCATACTCATCCCTGGATTCATCCACTGATACACGCAGTACCTGCCTGTGCTGTTAGGAGGTAGCACCCAGTTGGAGGTGTTCAGTGGAGGCTGACCGGGAATGGTGTACTCTTATTCCCAGCCCCTCCTCTCTCTCTCTGCTTCCTAGCTGCCATGCATTGAGCACCTCTGCCTCCTTCATGCCCCTCTGCCATGCTGTTTCTGTCTTTATGCCAGGCATCTATGGACTAAAATCATTGTGGTGTCAGATACTTGGCTCCAAAATTTGTAATGTAATTAAGTCATCCTCCTTAGTATAGTGAAAATCCCTGTACACTACATATAAACCAAACAGAAGTGTACTGAAAGATTCAGAGGAAGCAGACCTGCTAGGGACCTTGGGACCTGAGAAATGATACCATGGATTTTCTTTTTGTCTCATATTGTTATACTGGGTGATGGGAGTAGGCAGAAACCCAGAAATGTCAACAAGAAAAAAATAAAATAAAGCACAGAAAAAGGCCTGCTCTCTCTAGTGAAAAGACTTTGAAGGGGGAGGTCTCGCAAGATAGAAAGTTTTCAGACAATAATAAGTCTACTCCAGCTAAACGCCACAAAAATGGTGGTCTTACCTCCATTCCCAGTAGTAAAAGCAAAATGGGGTGCTTAGACTTGCCCAGCTATGTATGATAAGGCACTTCTCTATCGTCCCCTTGATGAGCATCAGCTTGGATTTTCATTTCCTCCCAGCAGCAATTCCACCCCCATAAACAAAAACAAAAATAAACAACAATGTGTTACTGGAGACCACATGGCGAGACTGGATTCTCACTTATATCCAGTAATAATGAGGTGCCTGTGGAAAACTAGTGAGGCACTCTTGCCTTCTTCCAGGATGAGTGAATAGAGAATGGTCACAAGGAGTCTCTTTCCTTCCAACCAGAATGAATCGATGGAGGCCTGGTGGGAAGCATGAACTCCCACCCTGGTCCAGCAGTTAATGGAGCACACACCTCGTGCAGTTCAGACAGCCGAAATGGAGAATTTGGGTTTCTACCTCCACCTGACAGCAACAAATCAGTGCCCCTGCTTCTTACTGGTGCAGTGTCAAGACAGCCTTGCTAAAAGAGAAGATTTGGGTAAGATCTGCAGTCTGTGAAAATAACCACAACGTCCAGACTAAAACAGAAAAATCCCTCATGATGCCAAGAACCAAGATAATCTCAACTTGAGTGTAAGAAGATAATCAACAAACACTACCTCTGAAGCAACACAGATATTTGTAATTAACCAACAAGGATTTCAAAGAAGCCATCACAAAAACGCTTCAACTGGGAATTACTGAGCATACTTAAAACAAATGAAAAAAACAGAAACTATCAGTAAAGAAAAAGCATCAGCAAAGAAATAGAGGATATGAAGAATGAATTAAAAAATATTAGAACTGAATAATACTACAACCAAGTAAATGCAATGGATGAGCTCAATAGATAATCACTTCTTGGCCTTTTGGCTAGGATCAAGTACAAATGGTGAGAAAAGGGGAAAGAATCAGTGAATTTGAAGATAATATAATAAATAGAAATTACCCAATATGAACACAAAAGAGAAAATGAGCTTCATATGCTGGATTTGTGGGACTAGAATCAACATTTAACATTTGTACGATTGGATTCATAGAAGGAGAAGAGAAATAGGGTAGAACTGAAAAGGTATTCAAAGGAATAATAGCTGAGGACTCTCTATATTTGGCAAAAGACATAAACCTACAGATTCAAGAAGCTGAGGAAATCCAAAACACAAAATTCTCCCAAGTCACTGCAAGGACACATAATCATAATCATAACCAAATTTGTGAAAATTAATGACAGAAAATATCATGAGGGCAGTGAGAGAGAAATGAGATCTTACCTATAAGAGGAAAACAATTTGAATAATGGCAGATTTTTCATAAGGACCATGAAACCAGAGGATGTGGCACATTTTTCAAGTGGTAAAATAATTGTCAACCCAGAATCTTATATCCAGAGAAAATATCATTCAGAAATAAAAAAGAGAGTCAAGACATTTTCAGATGAAAGAAAATTATGCAAAATTTCACCAGTACCTCAGTCCTAAAATGGCTAAAGGAAATTCTTGAAACAAATAAAAAGAATTTTAGAATACTAGGAAAGAAGAAGGCACAATAGGCTTTCTTTCATGTAAGTATTTCCTAAATTATCTTGGATAGGTTGAAATGAAAAACAATATCATTATCTGATGAAGTTCTCAAATGTATTAGAAACAGTGGGCAAAAAACATAACTTTAAAAAGAAGTCAAATTTCTACTCTTCTCCCAAATTGACAGAAAATGTCAACATCATTAGACTTGAACATGTATACAGGTAACACTGATAGCAACTACTAAGATAAATATATAGAGAGACATTAATTAAAAATATTGTAGATAAAAATAGAATTCTAAAAAAACGTTCAACTACTCATAGGAAAGCAAGAAAAACAAAACAGAAAAAAGATGACAGAAAACAAATACAAAACAAAAATCAAAATGGCAGACTTAACCCCTAACATGTCAATAACTACATTAAATATAAATGGTCTACATTCACCAATTATATTAGCAGTAGATTAAAATATTATGATCCAACTATATGATATGAACAAGAAACTTCAAATATAACATATATGCAGGTTAAAGGTAAAAATATGGCAAACGATATACCAAACTCATATTAATGAAAAGAAAGTAGGAGTGGATATATGAACTTCAGATAAAGTATACTTCAACCAAGAGATGGAGGGAGGAGGGAAAAAGGGAGAGGAACAGAATAAAAAAAAGAATTCAATATGGCTTATGTACATCTAGCAATACCCCACAATGAATGGAATCACTGTGTACTGCAAACATGTATTAAAAAAATTTTTTTTAATTTTAAAAATAGACCTCAACCAAAGAAAATTACCAGAAGGGCCGGGGATTTAGCCCAGTAGTGCCGCTGCCTGCCTTGTAAGTGCAAGGTCCTGAGTTTGATACCTGGTACCAAAACAAAAAATTATAGAAAATTACGAGAGACAGAGAAGGACATTAACTACTGATAAAAGGATCACTCTACTAAGAAGACACAACAATCCTAGGTAAATATGCACCAAAAAACAAAGCTCAAAATATGTATGGTTATAGTCCCTACTCTATTAAGCTAATTTAGATGTTGCTGCACAGGCATCCTCCAAATATAAAGCTCCTGATTTGTTGACCTTTAATAAGGGAACCATCTTAGACAATCTTGATGGGCCTAATGCAAGCAATTGTCAAAGCCTTAAAACAAAGTTGAGGCTTCTTAAAGGAGAAAAAATTCATCTATGGATAGCAGATTTGGACCATTTCTGTGAGCTCCAACTTGCCCATGAACATTTTTTTGATGGCCTGCCCTATGCATTTTGGAGTTGCGTAGGTAGCAATTTTTAAGTATTCATTTGTATATGTGTATGTGTATATGTTATATATAATACACAATACTTACATTATATATACATGTATATTATATATTTTGCATATATTAAAAACACATATACATTTCCCCATCTTACTAGTTCTGTTTCTCTGGTTGAATCTCAAATAATATAACCCACAAATAGCTTTTAAAAAACGCACTAATTTAGCTTTTGTGGTTTCATAATCATACTAACAATATTCGATTACTATCCTTCTACATCAGGGACTGGTAAATTTGTTCTGTATTTTTCCTGTAAAGAGCCAGTCAATACAATAGCTGTTAAAACTATTTAATTTTACCATTATAGCATAAAAGCAGTTATAGACTATATATAAACAAGCTTAAATATGCAATGAAATTTTACAAAAACAGGTGGCAGGTTATATTTTAGACAAATGGCTGAATTTGCCCTGAATAAAATTGATTATAGTATTTAATTTATTTTTATTCAAACTCTCTTTTTAGTTATTCAATTAAAACATCATATCTGAAATGAGGATATGTCTTCATGCAAAAATAATCTTTTAAAAATAAATGTAGAAGAGTAGATAAAATAAAAACTACTCAAACTACTGTTTTGTCTGTCTTTCCTTGGTTTCCACTACCACTCTAAAGAAAACAATGTGATTATATGTCTAGAGAATTTTGGACAGAGAATGAGGCTCAACTGTTTATGATTTACCAATAAGGAGTTGCATAACTTAGAACAAGTTATGTAACTTCTCTGTAGTTCCTTGAATAAATGATTTGGTCCATCTCCTTTCTAAAGTCTATGTACATCTCAAAAATTATAGAATTGTAATGCTCCTTTACTTCCCTCTGATTCACTTTTCATGGCTTCTTTTCCTCTTTGTGTTTTCTAATGAAAGTTTAAAGTCTCACTTAGATTATCTTTCTTTGCTACTCACTTTATTTAGACAATCTTATGCATGAGTTTAATTCTCAAATCTCTTTATATTACTTTTAAATTTAAACAAGTGTAAATTTCCATACCCAATTAAGTCCAGTGATTTCAACTGCTTCCTTAACATCTCCAGTCAGATTATCTATTATCACACAAAAGTTCGTGTATACACACCCAGCACCTGGGAGGCTGAGACAGGAGGATCACCCCAAGTTTGCAGCCAGCCTAAATTTCATAATGAGACCCTATCTCAAGAAACAAAAATAAGTAAATAAATAAATCTTATTGTGTCCAATACTAATTATTTCATTCCTGAAAACTGCTTTTCTTCTTGTTCTCTTATTCTGTTATGATATTTTTTACTGGCATGGACTCCCACCTTGTAGATCTTTGGTTTTATTCTTTTCTTGCTTTCCAAATTGAATGGGCTGGAAAATTCCTCTAGTTTTCCCCAGTATTTCTCACACCTTTCGGCTTCTATTTTTAAAGTTCCTTCTTCTTGGCTGGGGTTCTCATTACTTCATATATAAACTATTCTAACAAATAGTCTTTCACTACTCTTCCCTGTACCACTGTAAACACTATTAGATTAAGTTTCTTAATACAAAGTTCTAAATATATCATTCCCATAATCAAAAATCTTCAATTAGTTCCCACTGTATCCATTTAAAGTCCAAATTCTTCTGTCTAGATTTCATGTCCCATTATTAATTCATGTATTTATATTATACCTCAATCCACAAAGAACTTGTGGCAACTTACAGAAAATACAAATAATCAAACAGTAAAGTACAAATCACAAATGAAGATCAAGAGTAAGAACAATGTTAGTTAGAATAGATACAAATTAGGGCTAGGGTCAGAGAGACTGTAGGATCTTATAGAGTTTCTAATATTGAATTCTAAATTTGGTACCAAGCCTTTAGATGTTGAAGTGAAAAGGAAATTAGTTAAATAATACTTATTATCAGTAAAAAGAACAAAATTTTCCCTTTGGGGGGAAATTTTTTTTCTCCTATGCTTATCTCTAAAAGTACTTTCTCTGTGATCTTTCAAATGAGGACACAGAGATAAGGGAAGGATAAGATCTTCAACAATATTTTCAGAACAAATGCAGTTTCATGAGACTATGTTAAAAGCAATCCTCAATGAAAGCTAACAACTAAATGAAACCCAGTATTAAAAATTATAGAGAATTTGTGTTGGCTGGAATGAGGATGGTTTAGACTCCATTGTGGGGAAGGCTGTGGAAAAGCTTAGGGCAGATATTAGTAATCTTTTCAGAGCAATTCAGAGTATGAAATAATCGTGACTCTCTCAATTTTTTAGAAAACTTGATGAGATTCTGATGGGAGCTCTCTTGTCATGTACTTATCCTGTTACATGGAAATCAGGAGGCCCAAATGAACTTGCTTGTTAAGAATCCAACCCTCCAAGTATTGCTTTTGTACTCAGTCCTAAATTCTGTGTTTTTCTTTACCATTTGCTAGTAACATTGCCCTACTGCATTTGTTGGTTCAAATATAGTTTCCTTAATTTTTAACAATTGTATTTTTTCAGGAAATAGGCCCAAGAGGATGGTGGTGCTCTAGAGCTTAGCGTTTCTATCCTGTTCCATAAAATTGCACTCTTTAGTCTTAGTCTTTCAATTCACTGGGTATGAATGTATGCATCATCTTCCCTTCCTTACCATCTCAATTTAGATAATTAGGAATTGGCCAGATGAAAAAATGTTTAAATCTAGATCTAAATGGAGCTTTGGAAAAGAGATTTTAATAAGCATACTAAGTTGTGGTATCATGCTGGTGATAAAGCAATGTTCAAAATTATCATGGCCAATGAATATGTGAATATACAGCTTAGATCAAATACTATCAGCCATAAAACAACTTACAATTGAGATTCCATCCAAAGCTTTCAGTTCTGGAAGATGATATATTACAAACAACCGGTAGTTTTCTTGATTCCATAAAATAATGTTCCCATGCATGTCTAGAATTACCAAGTTGCATAAACCCTAGGTAATAAAAAGATAGACATTTACATCTTGTATATTATCTCACACTCCAGCAAGTTTTTTCTTTTAAGAGGTTAATAATCCTTGAATTATTTTAATTCTCTAGAACTTTATAGAATGTGTTAATTTTATTAGTAGACATTTGAAGAACATAATGATTACACTCATCATGGGGAGTTGCTGCATCTATATAACACATTTTAATTCTTTTATCATCCCCTTTTCCTCCTCACTCCCTGTCCCTCTTCTCTTGGTCCCCTTCTCCTTTGTAAAAGGCCTACCTCTTTATTTCCTATTATCTCTCTTTTATTTTGTTCTTTAATTTATTTGTATTTTGGGTTTCTCATATAAGAGAAATCATATGATATTTAAACTCGTGTATTTGATTTGTCTCACTTAACATTATAGTCTCAAGGCACATCCATTTTCCTACAAATGGATCCTTCTTTATAGCAGAAAACTTCCATTGTGTATAAATAGCACATTTTCTGTATCTACTCATCTGTTGATAGATACACTGGCCATTTCCAAAATTTAACAATTATGAATTGTGCTGCTATAAACGTTGAGTAAGCATGTATCACTGTAATGTGGTGTCTTCAACTCTTAGGGGAAGATAATCTAGAAGAGTAATAGCTGGGTCAAATCAAATTCTTAGTTTTAGTTTTTGAGGAACCTCCATACTGATTGCCACAGTGGTCATACTGATTGCCACAGTGGTCATACTAGGGAAAAAGGGACTCCTTTTTCCCTGCATCCTAGCCAGCACTTATTATTATTTTATTTCTTGATGATAGCCATTCTTTCTGCAGTGAGACAGAATCTCAGGGTTGTTTTTATTTACATTTCTCTGATGGTCAGTGATGTAAAATTTGACTGTTTTTAAGAAAACTTTTAAATCCAAAGGTTACTCTTTCAGACTGCAACAGTATAATTTTGTGCAATACGAGTATTTCAGTGGTCTATATTATATGATCAGAATCCCTTTTAGGATTGGTAGTATATGTATTATCTATCAGAGGTAAAGGCTTAGAGGGAATGTTGATATATTTAGGACAATGCAAGGGATAATCAAAATGTCAAACATTTACAAATACAGTAAATGTTTAATTTAAAATTGTTATTACAGTAAAAGGCTTCAAAATATTTCTTCTTGCTTCAGTATACTTATTACACCATTCTTGCCACTTCTGCAGCAGTTCTGAAAGTCCTCTTATATGTCTTTACAAAGTGGAACAGAAAATTCAGTGAATGATGTTGCTGAGTGCTGTCCAACAAAAAGGCAGCTCCTAAAAACATTCCAGTGTGCTCTCATCCACCTTATTCACAGGATCTGGTACCATGAGACTTCTTGCTCTTCCCCAAACTCAAAATGATCATGAAAGGTAAACGTTTTAAATCAATTCAGGCTCATAAGTCACCATAACAGCACAACTAAAGACACCCATAAACGAGGACTCCTAGAACTGCTTCAGAAAGGGACAAGTGGGATAAATATGTTTAAAGCAAGGGGGGATATTTCCAGGGGAATTAATGGCAATGTGCCTTTTACTGTAATAATTATTTTAAAAAATTTTTAAATGTTCATTGTATTTTCCAATCACATTGCATATACTTTGTTTATGGAATAATGGTCTATCAAGTAGTATGTAAGTGTGCATACAGGGATAACAGATATGAAAGAAACTGACTGCCATTTGAAAAAAAGATAAAACTGGAGTGCTTTTGTCTTCTAAGGAGGTCAGTAAAATTCTTCTTAAGGGAAAATGTCCTTTCTTATTAGACCAGACCCTTTCATGTATTTTTGCTGTAAAGGCAGGGTCCTAAGTAGGTGTGAACAGGAGAGATTAAAGCAAGAGGGAGTAAAATCTCTCTGTGACCATGTGAAATGGCTTATTTTGTTACTGATGCTGATGACCGGGTCCCTTCTGTAGCTTTAGAAGAAAAGAATGGGAGATGCCTGAATGTCCCTTCTGTAGCTTTAGAAGAAAAGAATGGGAGATGCCTGAATGTGAGGAAAGTCAGAAAATGGACATGGTTTTTGGTAGGAGATAAGGTTCCTAGAAATATGGTATTAGCAAAATGAGAGGCCAGTGTGAAACTCAGAGCAAGGAAGTGGCCAATAAACTCAAGAAACAATGAAGTCACACAATATTGTATATTTTAAGTAAATTCCTAGTGTGCACTGTAGAAAGCTTCTGTTTTGTTCAAACTTTTAGTGAAGACTGTTATACAGTAGCCTTAAATTTGTGCTTCCCTGAGGGGAATTAAGGAGAGTAAATCTGAGTAAAAGTGAGCAGAAAGAGTTGGAACCACTGGTAGGAACAGTGAGAGATAATCAAGAGTTGTACTGACAGAAGAGAATGCTACAGAATCCTATTCCCCTATCAAAGCGGGAAGTTTTGGCAATATTGAAGATGTACTTGTTAGGAGGAGTGGGTTTGAATATTAAAAAAGTTACCCGAGAAACTTATCTAATTGTGATCACGCACACACACACACACACACACACTGAATGCATGTTAACTTTGTTATTCTTAATTTTCTTATATATATTTTTCTACACTTTCCAAATTCTACACAGTGAACATTCATTATTTTCATAGTATAAACAATAAATGTTTAAAAACACAAAGAATTAACACCCCAGCTGGTCACCTTTAAATTGTAGATCTCCTGATTGACAGCAATATAATTATTGCTTATGTATAATTCAATTAGAGTGAAAGTCTTTTGTAAACCACTCAGTGAAGTAATTCTGTTATTCTCAAGAGAAAGGAAGTGAAGATGAAGCATGTTATCAAAAGTGTGCTTTTCCAAACCAGTAAGAAGGTTGTTATTTATGCTGAGGCGGGTTAACTTAGTCAGCTTGGAAATGCCTAGAAAACAATAAGCAAATTCAAGGAAAAATTCATGAGCCTCTGAAAGGCTAATTTAAAAAATAATTTTACTGTAACACTCTAAGTTCAAATAGCTTTTAAGGATTCTATTGTTTCAGAAGGATATAATCTTGTGCACAAAAGCCGATGCCATGGATCATATTTTAATTTTGAATTTCTATGTAGATCTGTTCTAATTGTTAAGGAAAAGCACTATATAGGAAATACTTATTCTCCTTTTCAAATAACTTTTACAATAGCGTACCTAATTAAGATTTTCACCTTCATGACAACACAAAGCTCCAAATAATCACTAGTCCACATTTTAAAACATTAAAGGTAAGAATCTAGAGTATAAAACTTAGAAAAGGGTGATTCATTATGAAATCATCTGAATTAAAGATAATTATTTAGCCTACTTCTGCCATTGTATGCTTAAAACCACTGAAGTTCTGAAAATGATACCTCTCACAAGGATCTACTCCTATATATATTACATACTGTAAGCACTTTAATTTGTAGCCAGGACAGATCACTTGAAGGATAAGAATGTTGGAGTCAGAGCTGGTTTCAACTAGGTTTGGGATGACAGATACATTATGTAACTTCTGAGCCTCAGTTTCCTCATCCATGAAAAGTAGACATACTAAAATGTACTTCTAAGAGGTTATGGAAATAAATGGAGTGATTTTTGGAGAGAGAGAATAAGAGGAAGCTGTTAACAAGTCCTAGAAGGTTTATTTCTATTTCTTCCTAGATTCACAATATTAAATAAGGGCTAGAATAAGACAAGGCTGGGAAAAAGTTATCAGATCATGTACTCTAAATCTTGGTGGAGGGGAGTCAGGTAAAGTCTCTGTTTTCTCTCTGACCCCACAAGACATGTTCTAATACTAAACTTTACTTAAACAGTCAAATAAAATATATTGGTCTCATTATTACTGAGACATTACCTAAAGCTGTTTAATTGTATTTGTGGATCCATAGCAAAGTTATATATAGTACATTTGATTTATTCTCCAGAGAATATATTTTTATTTTTGTTAAAAGCCTTAACATTTCCAAATGTGACCTTAATTTCTTATTTTGAAAAATGAACTAGGCTGTTTTATCTTTTTAATTCATCCATTTATAGAACTGTCTCATTAAGTTTTGGAAACAGATAGGAACCGCTGGCACAGACAGAGGTGCAAGTCAGCTTGCTATGTGTACTTGTTTGTCACAATCCCACCTGATATTTAGAATACTCTGCAGAAAACTTTCTCAGAATTTCTCTAAAGCTGTTCCTCAGTGTCATTAATTTTTCATGCGGATTATATAGACATTCATGCTTTGAGACTTCAAGATTCTCAAGTACCTTACCTTCTATTTTTGCGATGCAGTTTCCATCAAGTGTGAGCTCTTCCAAGTTAATACAGGATTCCAGGCCCTCCATTTTAGTCAGATTATTATTGCTGAATGATGCCCATTTCAAATTTTCCAATTTTTCTAAATTTTTGATCTCAAAGAGATGCTGTCCATCTAAATTTAAGGCAGTTATCTATACAATAATTCACATTGTATGTTACTTTGGAATCTTGTAAATAAATTCAATCAATAAGATTAAAAAGGCCAATGAAATAATAATAGAAATTTGATAAATATCAAAAGAATTCCTTCAGTAACTAAAAATATTGCAAAGCTCTTGTTTTACACAAGCAAAATTTGACAAGATTATAATTCCTAAGGGGGTTTTGTGGTCCTATGGACACTGTGATGAACTGGGCAGTTCCCACTGCAGTGCAGGACATGTCCCAGCTGCTAGGAGTGCTGTTGGCAGAGACCTTCAGCTCCTGGCCCTGCAGGGGCTGCTGTTCCTCTCCAGGTCAGAGTCCTTTCCAGGTTGCCCCACAGCCAATGATGGAGACAGGCAATAGCCTGGCCATCTCAGTCCTACTTGCAACTAACTTAAAGGGATTGTTCTAATTCCAGAACTCTCCATGGGGGTCAGCCAAGGCTGTCACCGGGCCTGCGCTACAGTCAATTTCAGTACACATCCCGTAATAAAAATAACGCCACTAATACCTTTCATTTTCAAGAGCTTCTCTTAACCCAGTTTCTATCTTTGTTAAGTTCCTATTTTCTGTTAGCCCAGTTCCCGTCTATCATGCAGGCGCTAGACAGAGGTTTAGTAAGTTCAGGCGACCTTACACAGCAAGAAATTGGCAGTGCTCTATGCCCTTTCCCCTTGTCCTTTGCTTAACTCTGACTCATTCCCCTATTCTCAGTCCCTTGCCACCCAATTTTGGCTTCATCTCTGGCTCTGATCCTTTAAAGTTTGCTGGCCTACTGTAACATACATCAAAAACAGTCCTTTAGTTTATAGTATGTCTTTAGTCCAAATATCCAGTTCTGTCGTAATAAGAGTCAAAGCCTATTCCCTGTGACATCTGTCCACTTCTTACTTTATTTTTTGAAATGTAGTAAATTTATTTCCGAATAATAATATTGTCTTTTTTATTTTTCAAGTTTACTGAGATGTAACAAATTTACAATTGTATGCATTTAATACATACAACTTCATTTGATATGTATACACTGTGAATTAAATGGTGCATAATCTCAATCATATGTACACTCTAATTAATGTAGATCTCAATTAACATAGAAGCAGAGAGTAGCATGGTGGTTACCAGAGGCTAGAGGCAAAGGGGAACAGAGGTGTTGGTCAAGGGGCCAATATTTCAGTAATACAAGATAAAGCAGTTCAGGAGATTTAATATACAATATGATAAAGTTAAAAATACTGTATGTTTGAAATTTACCAAGAAGGTGAATCTTAAGTGTTCCTTGCCTATTTCATTTTCATTAATCTCTTCCAATTTTCTGTTCCTTACCTGTTTGTGCCTTCTTTTATGATACGCAGACCAAAGTTGACTTAAAAATTTAATTTAAATTAAGCTTTTATATTAGGTTTAATAAAGTTAGCCTTTACCTTCAAATACCAGTTTCCACTCAGATGTAAACACGGTCCTAACTTTGAAATCTGTGTCAGAATTTTGGCAGAAGGCCATATGCTTAGTGTCCGTGGTCTCTCCTCTTTAGTACTACAGTGCCATAAGACACATGACTAATAAGACAGAAAAAAAAGGTGAATAGAAGAAATAATACAGGTTCATTAATACATAGATTAAGAGTATTATTCCCAATGAAAGTGCATAATCCAATAAATAATTTTAAAATAGAACATTTCCTTTGCCTTAAAGTATTTTCAATATCTGGATATATTTTAATTATTCATTTGATTGCTCTATGCTCTAGAAACATTAAATTATTACAAGATAAAACTGTTAAAACTTTGAAAAGAATTACTAGAATACAAACACACATATACGGCAATCACTCATAAAGCCAGCTTGGGAGCTGGTATTTTTCTAATTCCCTGTACATTTGCTATGGGCCCCATCCTAAGCTCTTTCCTCTTCTTGCCTTAGAATAATCCCTATTTCAGTTTTTTCTAGTATTCACTTGCTTTTTTTAATAGTCTATGTTTATGTCCCTAAACAATATATTTAGTCTTGAGTATATGTGAACTTTATGTAAACCAAATAATACATCTTTTATTCTGCTTGGTTTTTTTTCTTTGACATCATATTCACAAGGTGAATCAATGCTTCTCCTGTATATGTGGCTGGAATATATTCATGTCACTGCTGAACAGCGTTCCCTTAATGACCTTCCTGTTGATGAATACTAAGATTGATTCAATCTTTGTTGTTATGAAAAGTGCTGTCATGTATATTCTTGTGCATGTCTCTTGGTACATACATGCAAGTGCTTCTTCAGAGCCTGTGCCCTTAAGTAAACTTGCTCAGCTGTATGGGATATGCGTGCTTGTGCACATATGTACGTGTGCACCTACATGTGTGTAGTTTATAATGCCAAACTTTTTTCCAAAGTGATTGTACCAATTATAAGTGTTACTTCATATTCTTGCTGAAAACTGATATTGTCAGGCTTTAATAATCAGTAGGTTGTTATGATTTTAATGTTCATTTTCTTGAATACTGATGTGGTGACACATATTATCTAAGTTAACTGGCTATTCTAATTTTCTCTCCAGTGAAATGTCTGTTCAATGTTTTCTGTTCACTTGTCTCTTTCCTTGTATGTTCTGGATGGGTAAAGAATATCTTTTGACATCGTGTTGCAAATTTCTTTTCTCAGTATTACTTTGTCTTTTTTATTTTCATTATGGTGTCCTTTGAAGATAACTCAATCTTTGATGGTCTATGATCTTTGTTTCAGGCCCAATAAAGTCTTCCTTAATTCAATATCTTAATGACAATCTCTGATATTTTCTTCTAATATGTTTTGGTTTTGCCTTTGCAGTGAGGTGTTCAATGTACTTGTCTCAGTCCCTTTTATTAAATAGCCTCTCTGACCTGCAAAGGCAACTCTGCTATTTTTCAAGTTTCCACAGATGTATGGGTCTCTATTAGGTTTTTTATTCTGTTCTATTGGTCTATTTGTCAATATCACATTGCATTAAAATTTTTTTTATTGTAGGTTAAGTCTCTATTTTCCTAGGTATTCTTCAGGAATGCTAATTATACTTTTATCAACAAAAAAGGTTTTCCCCTTCAATTTGAACAGATCAAAAATACAAGACTACATTGTTTAAGAAATTAATATTTAAATACCTTACAAAAAGTAAAGAGCTAGATAACTAGAATATAGATATTGAGAATATTGAAACTATTTTGGCTAAAGTATAGAATTCCTAATCTGGATAAATAGGTATATCCCCTCCCCCATGTTAACAGGTTTTGTTCTTTTCAGCCAGACATATATAATGTCAACCCTAAGTAGATGATTCATTAAACAGTTTCTAGAAGCCTCTAAGCTTACCTGATCCTCAGAAAGTCGTTAATTTTCATTAATATTATACAAAGGATTCTGGTGAGTTTGGGTGACTAGGAAAAAAGCAGTTATCCTGGAACAGTGGCGGCAAACCTCTGGCAGGCATGTGGCAGCCAGCTGTTTGTTATCATTGAAAGCTCTAAAAGGTTCACCACCACTCATGTTCAGGGCTGTTACCAAGAGAATCCACATAGCCAGTTGATATTTAAATGGGGTACATTTGAACAGAGGACAATCCAGTGGCATGACTACTAATTTTTAATTAACATATAAGAAGGAATATGAAATCTTAAAGATAGAAAATGAGTATGAGAAACATTATTTGTAAGTTCCAAATAGCACACAAGAAATATTAAATAGTACAATCCAACCTGAGTGATCTTTGTTCCAGTAATAAATTTCAGAGCTGCTGTTGTTTCTTCTTCAGAAATGAGGAGCCCATCTAAATGTGTAAGAGTCTTTAATCTGCCAATAACACTCAACCTCAATGTGGCTGGCTTGGGGAAAATGGCAAAAAGTTAATTTTCACAAAAGATTGCATACATTATAAATGTCTCTTTATGCCTTTCCATATAATTCAAAATTATATAGTTCCTTGTGTATCACAGACAAGGTATGATTAAAAATACAGTGACTATTTAAACTTAAAAAATTAATACAGGAAAAAAGACACAGTAACAAGAAGATAGGATAAGTGTGGGTGAATCTAAGGGAAGCACTTTATTTTGAGGAAGATTAATGGTACTGTCTCTTTTTACTGTAATACACTTTTTAAATTACATATTAATCGTACTTGTTGACTGCCCCTGAGCAAATGTTTGCAGCAATTCCTGTCAAATAAAAACATTACGGTGTAGCCTCATCCATCTTATTCACTAGATCTAGTACCACGCAACTTCACACTCATCCCCAAAGTCAAAACACCATTAAAGATAAATGTTCTGAATTGATTCAGGACACAATGCAGTCAATATAGTGCAATTACAGACACTAACGAAAGAGGACTTCTAGAAATGTTTCAGAAAGTGGTTAAGAATGGGGGAGAGGACATTGACTGGAGGTTAATGGCAATGTGTCTTTTACTTTAGTAATTTTAAATATTTAAACATTTACTGTATTTTTCAGTCATATCTCCTATGTCTAAAACTTAAGGCTTAATTTCTTCATAAAATAGTTAAAATTAAATGACAGTTAAGAACTACTCTTTTGTTTGTAGGTGGAAGGTGGGGAATCCCATGAGCTGCTGAAAAGTGACTGGTGAGAAGAGTTCAGAAAACAACCCTAGCTAGCCCTGTTTATTCAGAGCAGCGGGAAGAAAGGACCATGTGTTATCAATAGGCTCTTTAGTCCCTGATATCCCACTTGGCAACAAGAGGATAACTGTACTGTTATCACCCGGGAAGTCTGCTTTGGCAAAAGAAAAATATATTTTAATTATATTGAGCTTAAAAGAAGAAATATAACAATATAAATTTAGCAATATGGCCAATTTAATAAAATGAATTATTCTTTAGTCCCTTCAAAAATGTTGAAAACAGCCTTATATATATCTTTTAGAAGCAGAGCAAGGAAGATTCTTGAAATTAGAAATCTGATGTTTATTTAAAATATTTGGAAATATCCTTAAACATAACCATTGAAAATTTAAATTGCATATTTTTATGGTGATAAAAAATAATGTTCAAACAAATTTCCATTACAACAGAACATAAGACTTCATAATACAGGTTTACGGTGGGTGATTCATGGACTTAAAATAGAGAAAAAACAATGCAAAATGCAAAGTAAATTTTTAAAACGTTTCTTAAACCTAGATTAAGATATATTATAATCAAATTGTTTCCTCCTTAATAATATGCTTCTGTGTTGGTTCTTGTACTTCATTATAGTAGAGTTCTGGCATTCAGCCATATAAACTCTGGAAGCTTGCAAATGGCAATGACAAAAGTTACTCTTAGAGCAATGTTTTGTTTTTCACACTGAATGTAAATTATAATTACAAAACAAGAATATGAACAAAACATTAAAAAATTATCTGGCAACTCATCACATCATTGTGACAGACAAATTTGACCTTAAGTTTAATTTTATGAAAAATTTAAGTTGGACAGCTTGTTCATATGGGAGTTAAAATATGTTGTTTAAAGAACCTGGCAATAAAACCAGCTTCTATCCTGAAAAAACTGTGTATAAAACAACATAAAATCTCGAAGCTGAGTGGGCAGGAGTGACCTAATTGCCAATGCACTTCTATTCACTGAGAAATAAGGGAGGCATCTTGGTGACAGCTTCAGAACAGCATAGAGGGGAGGAATGAATGCCAACAGCAATGTTTTTAAAGTAACAGAGATTACTAAAAGTCCGACATGAAATTATAGCCCTTGATTCACTTGATCATTATACTTTATGAAGGACGTAAAAGAACTCTACAAAAACACAGTTTGCCTGTTTCTGGCTATTACTGAATAGCAAAGTAGTGAGAAAATGGCTTTGAAATCAAAATGCGTGCTTTTTCATAACCATGTCTGTTGCATACCTTCTGCCATGGATTGTGTTGAATATTAAGAGTGAGAAGGCTTGTGGTGTGTTTGCATAACACATTTATTTCATCCCCAGATTTTTTCAATTGATTCCAGCTCAAGTCTAAGTGCTTCAGTTTCATCAGACCTCTGAATCCTTCAAGGGTGATCACATGGTTATGGCTTGCATCCAAATATTCAAGGTTGTACTGCAACACATAAAGCAGAAGTGGTACTGAGAATCATGATTCGTATTTACATAATTCTTTTTTTCTGGTTTTTTAACTGCTTTCTTAAAATTGTCACAGGAAACATTTTCCTATGTAGAATTTTGTATCCTGTTAATACCTTCAAGATCATTACGGGGGCCGAGGATTTAGCTCAGTGGTGCTGCCTGCCTTGCAAGTGCAAGGTCCTGTGTTCGATCCCCGGTACTAAAAAAAAAAAAGAATATTAGGAGCCTTATATATGCCCCTGGAATACTGTGATTCATACAAGAACTAATGCATTTCAGTCACTGGGCCAGGGATGTAGCGCAGCAGCACTGCACATGCCTGGCAAGTTCAAGGTCCTGAGTTCAATTCCCAGTACCAAAAAAAGAGATAATTACATATTCTTCAAAATTATTTTTCAGAACTGCATAATAATATGAAAAATAATATGGATGAAAAATAATGTGGATTATTATAATTATTTAAACATTGTACTAGGGACCTTTCTGTTTCTAATTGTTAGCAACATTGCAGCAAATATCAATGACAATGACATTTTCACAGTAATTTAAAAAGTTTTTTTGGAACAGATGTTTAGAAATGAGAATTCCAGTACTAAGAATTTCTGTATGGTTTTGCTTTTTGTTTGTTTGTTTGTTTTCTGAGACAAGGTCTTGCTATGTGGTTTAGGCTGATTTTGAACTCACTACATATCCCTGGATGGCCTTGAACTTGCAGCACTCTTTCTCCCTCAGCCTCCTGAGTGCTGGGATTACCGGCATGTACCATCACACCTGACCAGGAATTTTTGTGTCACTAAGAGTTAAAAATACTGCCACATGGCTTTCAAAGAAGTTTGTATCAATATTTTCTTCCAACAATAGAAAATGGGAATATTCACTTTCTCCAATACTCACCAGTCCACCTGTTTTACTTCAATTTACCTTGTTTATTGCCAGTGATGTTGAACATCTTTCCAGGTGTTTTTATTAGCCATTTAAATTTTTTTTGCTTGTTAAATGTCTTGACTCTGGCTATTTATTCAGATATTTATTTTGCTTGTTTATAGGTAATCTCTAAGACTTTAAATTGTTACTTATATTTGTTGCAAATAAAATTTGCTTTTAAGATAGTTAATTCAGATCCAGAACAATAAAAAGGTAGAGAATTTTAAGAAGTTACTGTACAATACAGCTTTTAAAATGAAAACTATTGTATTAAAAATAAATGAGATTTCTTCACAGCTTAATTAAAACAACCCTTGAGTTCACCACAGAATTAGGCACTCCTTTGTAACTTATCAAACAGTACTTATCATGGTGATTCAGTTTTCAAGAGATTTTGTAAATGTACAGGTCTTCAAAACGTAAGAAAAATTCTGTAAACCAAATACAGCTATTGACTTGTTATTCTCATAAGTAAGCACAGACAAGTAAAACAAAACAAAAGCTTTAATTTACTATGTCATTTCTTGAACAAAAGGATATTTATGAGTAAAACTGTATGAAAGGCATAAGCTTAAAAAGAAGTCTTTTTAAATAAAATCAGTTTTGTTTTGTAAAAATTTACTCCGTGGTTCTTTTTTCAGTTTACATGAAAAACTGGTGTTTTTCTGTCTCCCTGTGTGGCCTCTGCCTGCAGACCAGCACTTGGGAACCACACACCGTGAAAAGATAATTGGCATCTTCCCTAGAGAACAAGAGCAGGATCTTCATTTTTGTATCCCCAGGAACTCCATAAATATTCACAGGATAGTATTTTCAGTTTTGAAGTCATGTTTTTCTGTTCCAATATTTTTTGTGCCTCAGTTTAAAAATCTGTTTCAAATTACAGTACAGTCTAATTTACAAAGATGAAAACCCATAATAGCTTTTCAAAATTTTCTCAGGAATACCAATTTATTCTCTAAATATAAACTGGCTGTCCCTAGATGTCAGAAACATCTTAACTACAGAGTTCTCATTCAATAAGATAAGATAGTGACAAGTATTGTTCAAATAAAACATTAGGAGTGTAATCTAAACTAAGGTGGCAATTAGCCATACATATTTGTCATCCATCCTCTAGTCACCTCCACCTAGAGTGGAACTATTTTCAGAGCAGAAAAGGATATTCCTATACCTTTCTTTTAGAAATTCTCTTTTCCTGATAAGCGTAGTTCAGGCGAATGAATGATGGACATGAAGCTTAGTATATACCTTGTTTAGAATGCTAAAATATTCCATAAGAACAATACAGTATATCTATTTAGTTTTCCACCATTTGTCAAGCCCAGCCTTCCCCTGCATAACAAAGTCTTAGCTTGGGTATACATAATATAAGGCCAAGATGAACACTGTAGCAATAATACATTTGCTTTTTGCTATGAGGTAGAACCAAATTAACTCACACAAAAAACACAAAGAGCATGGAAACTGTCCATGTCAGATACATGCTCAAGGGAAATGTTAGCAAAAATGAGATATCCCCAGGAAAATTATAGACTTAGAAGAGAGGAATTCCAAATGGGTGATTAAAATAGAGCATAAGATTTTATGATACTGGGACAAACATAGTATTAAATAAATGTACAATACCAATTCTTATTGGAGAATGTAGAGGTGGGGCCAGTATAGGTTTTCAATTTCTCCGAACCCTCACATAAAAAACAGAGCAAATAGATAAAACCAAAACCCTAGGAACAACATTTGTAAAAAAACAAAAAACAAAAAACCCACTATATTAAGTGTACTCTCTAAACCCCACAAGAAATTGACAGAGATGATCCACTACAAGTATCAGACTTACAGCCAAATGGCTCCTGGACCCTACTGATTTCCTTAAGACAAAATCTGATATCCTTCTTTTCATATTCTTCTGTAGACTGGCAAGTGGGTCTGTAGGTTGTACCAGACCCAATTTCCATTTCTTGGCAAGACCATTGTTTGACAAGACTATAGGAGGCACATATCTGGTTGTCTCACTCTTGTGAAGCCGGGAGCCATAGGTTCATTGGTACCTGAATGTTTAATTCTCATCACTAGTCCTTATACTGTTATGTCTCTAAACATTTAGATTGTCTGGAATATGTCCTATTATAGATCCTAGAAATGGCTTATGGAAACAATGTCAAAGAACTGTGTACCTTTGGGAAATAGGAGGGAATCAATTCAGTGCAGTGTTTATTCTGCACTTTCTATATAAACACTACCAATGGGTAATAAAACAACAGATAAGGAGAAATGTATCTTTGTAAAAGTATTCAGAAGAAACAGAAATGATAGAATACCAATAACCCCATTTTGTCATTTCCAATGAATTAATGGATCTAGTTATTAAGGAAGACATACAGGGTTGTATCTTAAGCAAATCAGAAAGGTCAAGGCTGTGGAAAACTATTCGGGTCAGAAAGCCCAAGCATTTATAAACCATAGGGAATGAAACGGTGAAAAGAAAATCTTTAAATGAAAAGAGATGTAAACAGCATAGTACAGGGGCAGCGAAGGTGAGCCAGTCCCAGCACCTGGAAGGAAGCTCCCCCACTGCCATTCAAGCTCCTAGGGCAGAGAAGGTGAGCCAGTCCCAGCACCCGGAAGGAAGCTCCCTTGCTGCCATCCCAAGCTCCTAGGACAGAGAAGGTGAGCTGCACGGGTGCCAGAAGCACCCCACCACCACCGTGGAAATGAGAAGACACATAAACAAGTCTTAAAAACAGACATCTGGATCACCTACAGCAACCCTAAAGGGAAACGAGATAGAACAATCTGATACTCAACCACCTGGACTCTCTGAACTGGCAACAAAAGAGGATCTGGGAAAAATGAAATCAGAAATAATT